CCAAGCTCACAGAACTCTGTACAGATAGAGGATGCAGGGAAGTAGAGCGGACCCTGACACAGGATTATGCCTCTGTTTTATTCAGTACATATTTATCACATACCTGTTTGGTGTGCTGGTGAGCCAGACAGGTTATCCTATCATATGCATAAAAATGAAAAATTTAACCATACTCTATATCCTGTCTGTGGGTTTTTAAAAAAACATGTGCATATATTATTTTTGTTGTTGTTAGTCCTCACCTGAGGATAGTCTTCCATTGATTTTTAGAGAGAATGGGAGAGAGAGAGGGAGAGGTAGAGAGAAACATCCATGTGAGAGAGAAACATTGATTGGTTGCCTCCTGCATGCACCCCGACCAGGGCAGGGGAACCTGCAACCAAGGTACGTGCCCTTGACTGGAATCGAACCCGGGATCCTTTAGTCTGCGGGCCGATGCTCTATCCACTGAGCCAAACCAGCCAGGGCCATATATTACTTTTTAATCAAAAGTTAACGTTCTTTCAACGCTTATTGAAGTTTTACCTTTCATTTGATAAGCAGTCGTGTGCCTCCCACCCCCACCCCGATACCTCTGGCTGAAACAATTTGAACATATTTTCTATTCAGGTTTTTTTTCTTTAATGTTGATTATAAACCAGGCAACTGATTCATCAAAGGATCCATCTAAGACCATCAAAGGGCCCCACTTTTATTTTAAAATGCACGATCCAAGATAGTCCTGGGTTTAGACTGGTCTTTCACTGCCTTGCCATAACCTTGGGCGCTCTTCTGCCCCCTTTGAACTTGAATGGAAAGTTTGGCGATGACCTAGAGGGCCTCACCTGCACCTAGCGATTTGTGGTCTCCAGTTGTCCCTGTGGAGTAGGAATCCAGCGTGATGATCATTTCCCAGGGTACATGCTCCTCCTTCCTGTTCCCTTCGTTCCTGAGCATCATCATGTTCTATTGTGAGGCTGAGTTAAATATTACACGTTGTTGCTGTTTTACTCACCCTTATCCCGACTTGAAGATTCTAGAAGGCAGGGAATACGTCTTGCTAGATCTCGGCACATAAAGGCTGCTCAGTAAAAGTTTCTTGAATGAAGAGTTCGCTCTGTGTGAAGGACTGAGGAACGGCTTTTACGGAGAAAGCAGGATTTGAGCTAGATGGAAGTACTGTAATTAACATCCAGTTGGTGAGCAAGGAAGGGGAAAGTACAGGAAACAGAATCAGCAGAAACATGGAAGCATTATAAAATATGGCGTGTTCAGCAAACAGCAAACGATTCAGAAGGTAGGGATGGAGGTGGGAAAGATCATGTGTTTGGAAAGGTTTAGGGTTAGGTTGTGAAGGGCTTTTTATTTTTAAATCACTGTGCTTTTTTAATTTAATTTTTTTTTTATTTTATTGACTTTTTACAGAGAGGAAGGGAGAGGGATAGAGAGTTAGAAACATCGATGAGAGAGAAACATCAATCAGCTGCCTCCTGCACACCCCCTACTGAGGATGTGCCCGCAACCAAGGTACATGCCCTTGACCGGAATCGAACCTGGGACCCTTCAGTCTGCAGGCTGACGCTCTATCCACTGAGCCAAACCGGTTAGAGCAGGGCTTTTCTTTTTAAAAAAATTATTTTGAGAGAGAGAGAGAGAAAGAGAAGCATCGATTTGTTTCACTTATTGATGCATTCATTGGTTGCTTCTTGCATGTGCCCTGACGGGGAATGGAACCCGAAACCTTGTGGAGTGGGGATGATGCTCTAGCCCAGCGGTCGCCAACCTTTCAGACCTAATGGACCACTGGTTGGCGACCGCTGCTCTAGCCAACTGAGCTCCCTGGCCAGGGCTTTATGGCTGTGCTGGAGTTACTTTATCATGGAAGCCGTGGGAAGAAGTTTTTAGAGAAGTAGCAGGCTCCAGATGTGTGCTCAGAAGAATACTTCTTAGAGCAACAGGGAGAGGAGATTAGAGGCAGGACACAGGCTTCATAGGCTACGGTAGAGTCCAGGCGAGAGGTGACGAGGGCTTTGGTGAAGATAGAATTAGAGGACCTATTTGGTCCCCACACAGTGCTGTGGGGCTGTGTGATCACCCTCCAGGAGGTTCACCTGCCTCATTCCCGTGATACCTGGCCATTGTTGTGTGGGACAGAATTGTTATTAACATACCGTGGTTTTGTGTTCCTTCTGACTTAACATTTTATGATGTATCCCCAGTGATTTGCTCCACTTCTGTTGGACAGGAAACAGAATTGAAGTTGCCTTTTCACTAAATGGACACTATCTTGAAGGCGTATTATATAGTAACTAGAGGCCCGGTGCACGAAAATTCTTGCACCGGGAGGGGGAGGGGGTCCCTCAGCCTGGCCTGTGCCCTCCCGCAGTCCAGGAGCCCTCGGGGGATGTCCGTGGAGTGGGCCTAAGCGCAATCTGGCCTCCCTCTGCGGGAGGCGACCAGCAGGCCAATTGAGGGCTGGTGAGCAGCTGGCCCCGCCCCCGATCACCCCTCTGCCGCTGGTTGCCATCATCTCTTCTCTCTGCCCACTGGCACCTTCTTTGGCTGGCCTGGCAGTGCCCACTTGCCAGCCCTACCCCCTGCTGACTGGTTGTTCCACCGTTCAGTCAATTTGTATATTAGGCTTTTATTATATAGGGTTATAGTCTTGGACTGTATGGTAATAGGATGCTGGCCATTTTCTGTGTTGGGTCCAAGAAATACATTATTGTGCCATTTGATCATTTAGTGTAGAAATCACCTTTCCTTCCTCCTGATTTCCCTTAGATTTATTTCTGAATGCCTCCTTTAGAATAACTTGAGGTTCTTTGTCATTCCATTTTAGCTGTGGGAGTCCCCAGACCACCTTGGGTACTGGACAGTATGTGAACTGCTCCAGCACCTGGGGGGCACCGTCTTGCCGTTGGAGACTTTGAGCCCGGATGGTACGAAAGCTGGGGAGACCCTGTTCTCACGTGAGCCCCACCTCTCCTCGTGGGTGTCAGCTCTGCCAACAGACTCCATCTTAAACTGTGTGCTCTATAATTCTCCTGAGTATGAAGCCTCATTTCCACGGACAGAAGGAACGTTATTTCTCCCTGTTGAAGGTAAGCAAATAATGTTCGGGGGAGGGGGGTTGTGGTGTCAGTTATATTCATTTCTTTAAGGCAGGCCTATGCTTTCAGATTCTCTAGAACAGAAGGGAGAGAGATAGAGAGTTAGAAACATCGATGAGAGAGAAACATCGATCAGCTGCCTCCTGCACATCTCCCACTGGGGATGTGCCCGCAACCCAGGTACATGCCCTTGACCGGAATCGAACCTGGGACCCTTCAGTCCGCAGGCCAACGCTCTATCCACCGAGCCAAACCGGTTCCGGCGTATATATTCATTTCTTTAAGGCAGGCCTATGCTTTCAGATTCTCTAGAAACAGTGGTTCTTCAACCTTGGCTGCACATAGAATCACCTGGGAATCTTTT